CTAGTAGGTTTTGTTCAGATGTGATGATAGGAAAGACTAGACTAGGTGGTCTTAGAATTCATATGTGAGAGTGAAACATAAGAACGAAGACAGTTTTGAAGAAGAGGAACAAGAATGGGAGTAAGATCTTAATACTTATTATAGAGTAATACAAATTAAAAGACAGTGTGGCGTTGGTACAGAGCTAGATAAAATGACTAACAGATCAGAAAAGAGAGTCCAGAAACAGACCTGTGCAATTAAAGAAATTCCATTATGACAAATTGGGAGACCCCTCTCCCTCTGGGAGAAAGGATGGTCTATTCTAGAGCTGTGCAATAGAAATACAATGTATTTGTATTTCTACACATTTGTAACTTAAAATTTTCCAGTAGCCACATTTCAAAAAGTAAAAAGAAACAGGTGAAATAAATTTTAATAATATATTTTAACACCAAATATCCAGAATATTATTTGAACTTGTAATCAGTATTAAATTATTGACATATTCTGTACCAAGTCTCAGCATGTATTCCTCCTGTTGCCCAGGCTGGAGTGCAATGGCATGATCTCGGCTCACCACAACCTTCACCTCCCGGGTTCAAGTGATTCTCCTGCCTCAGCCTCCTGAGTAGCTGGGATTACAGGCATATGCCACCACATCTAGCTAATTTTGTATTTTTAGTAGAGATGGAATTTCTCATGTTGGTCAGGCTGGTCTCGAACTCCCGACCTCAGGTGATCCACCTGCCTTGGCCTTCCAAAGTGTTGGGATTACAGGCATGAGCCACAACTCTGTCCAAAAAAAAAAAAAAAAGAAATCCAGCATGTATTATACACACAGTACATCTGGATTTGGACAAGTTACATTTCAAGTGCTCAAAAGCTTACATGTGACTAGTAGTTACAGTATTGGATAGCACAGCTCTGTTCAATAAATTGCACTAAGATAATTTATTGAACAGAGCTGCACTAAGATAGGTTGGTATTCACATGGAAAAAAATAGATTCGTACCTTGCACTAAAATTTCAGACATCAATGCGAAAAGCATAATTTGAATATTTTTACAAAAAATATAAAAAATACCTTTATGATTTAAGGGTCAGGATAAGAAACATAAAGCATAAACTATAAAAAACAATTGATCTTTTATATTGGGAGAAGATATATATGATGCACGATTGATCAAGAAACAGCTTGGAATTTATAAAGAACTCCAACAAATCAGTAGACGTAGAGAAAATCTCAATAGAGAAATGGTAAAAGTTATGAATGGCCAGTTCATAGAAGAGACAATTAAGTGGCCATTAAACCAGAAAAAATGCTCAACTTCAGTGGTAAGCAAAGAAATGCAAATTAAAACCAAAAGATGTCATTTTATACCAACAGAGTAGCAAAATATTTAAGTCGGGTAATGCCAAGCGTTCATAAGGATACAAAGATACAGGAACTCTCAAACACTGCTGATGAGAGAGAGTATAAATTGGCACAGTCACTTTGGGGAGCATCTAGCAAAGCTCTTGATATGCATCCCTCACAGTCTAGCAATTGCAATCTGGCACATGCAGACTTTAACAAAAACATTCATGGAAATGCTGTTTTCAATAGAAAAGAAGGAAACTGAATACCTACTAGTAGCAGAGGGATAAATTACGTAGTAAATATTTTAGAACAGCTAAAATGAATGAAGTAGGTCTATGAGTGTCAACATGGACACATTTCAAAAACATAGGGGGAATTAAAAAGTTGTAGAATGTTAATATAGAGTATGATACCATTTCTATAAAACATGGCATAGATTGAACATACACAGTAAGAATATAATAAGTGCCAAGGAATGAGGAAGAATAAATAGGCAAGTCCTTTATTCTGATTTTTAAAATTGTTTTAATGCCATGCAAGTATGACAGATGTGAAGATTTTAAAGAGCTGAATGGCAGAGTGATTGGCATGTTCATCAGGGACCTTGGCCATGAGCAATAGATCACATGCTAGCTGGTTTAAGCAGAAGGGATTTGTTACAGGGCATTAGGTAGCAAACTGAATCTTAAGGATAATTTGGATTTGTTGACAGACAGCATTCAAAGCCAGAGTGAATGTGATTGGCTAGGGAGAAAGTAGGGTGAGAAGCAGCCTTGGAGGATGCATCAGGGACTTGTATGTTTGGGCAGAGGGGCCTGAGCAGAGGATGAGGGACAGGTTGTACCGAGGGGTGTGAGGGTGTGTGAAGGAGCCACCATACCTGCTGCATGTCATCTGGCCTCAGTGATAGACCTGTGAGGTTGGTGAGTGGGGCCTTGATCTGTGACTGAGCCAGGTCTTGTGTCTCTAAATCCAGTGTCTTGATCTGTGACTGAGCGAGGTCTTGTGGCTCTAAATCCAGTGCTCCACAGGAACACTTGATATGCATCCACAGGAACACTGGATTTAGAGCCACAAGACCTGGCTCAGTCACAGATCAAGGCTATTAACATTTGGAACTAGGCCTCCTTAACTCACCCTTCAGCCTGTACTTTCTGCACAGTAACTGTTGTCCATCGTTTGGAGCTGTGGTTAACGTCTCAAGTCTTTCCACCATATCACTCTGCATGGGACAGGTGTGGCTTCACTTCCAAAGTTCATTGGGTAGTAACAGTTACCATTCATGAAATTCTCTCATTTGCTAGACAGCCATAAGTGATGGTGCCTTATCACTGTGAAGAAGGGATACCAATGGTTAAGCATTCTCAAACATTTCCCCAAGCTGTTGTGTATTTTAGAAAAGCATTTGCTTACCTACTTTGTTCTCCAAATATGCTGAGTGTTGTCCACAGAGTACCTTAAGCCTCCATGAAATAAGAACTGGTATTAGTTCATTTTAATGACAAGAAAACTGAGACTTAAAAAGTAAATTAACTTTCCATAAGTCACACTATTAGAAAGAGATGGAGCTACGATTTAACAGGAGGCTGTCTGGACCCAGCACCAGACCTCCTCGTGTCTACATTGCACTAGATTCTAGCCAAATCTACCATTATCTGTGTAACCTGCAATTGAACTAGTGACTTTGATCTTCATTCTTCAAACTGAATTATTTTGAAGCTTAATCATTCCTTCTGGGGAAAAGGAGAAAGAACATGCTGAAGAGTGAGTTAAGGAGGTCTGTTTCCTAAGGAAAAGCCCCTGTTCAAGGAGAAAGCTTCAATAACCAGAGTTCAGATGTTAGCCACAGCTCCAAATGACGGACAAGAGTTAGTGTGCATTTTCAGAATCTGCTTCTCGAATTATTCCCCTCCACTACCACATAAAAATGGGACATTTGAGTGCAGTATTTGTAGAAGGAACAAGCCATTAATTTATAAAAGTTTGGGGTTGGCTACTGTGTGCTAGCACAGTGCTGGGTAAGGGTTGGATAGGATGGTGAGCAAAGCAGATGGGATTCCAGTCCTCATGAAGCTTATAGTTTAGACAGTGTTACATTAGAGATGGAGTTGATAATATGGTTATAGGGGTGGGACCCATGGAGATCTTGGTTATGAAGGGAGGAGTGTATGGGTGGGGAAAGTTCTCTACCACTTCTGAGAATTTGAACAACCTTCACAGTGCTGCAAAGCCCCTTTCTTTGCTAATGAGTCCTGGTTCATTTCAGGTATCCAAACATCTTGAGTAAGTTGGATCCAACCCTAGGTCAGGTGTAAGTCCTGATTGCTCAATCAATGGAATTACCTGAAGGACTTGTTTAAAAAAAAAAAAAAAAGAAAGAAAGAAAGAGAAAAGAAAAAGATCGCAGAATCCTTCCCCTGGATTCAGTGAGTCAGGGCAAGAGAATGTGCCTTTTAAACAAGTCCCAGTTCATGCTGTTGCTGATCAAGGGATCTCACGTTGTGAACCACTGTTCTAAACTAATCCTGGTGATCTCATTCCCCTTGCTAGTGACTGGTTTAGTCACATGCATGCAATGCAATTCTGGCCAATATAAGGGATTGTATGTTGGGGAATGTCATTCAGGACCCCTATTAACTTCAGTAGGGATGGCACCAGGTTCAAGAAGCCAAAGCAAAGACCCAGAGCCAGTAAACAAGACAGAGTATTGTTAGTGGGAAACATATACAGAGCGGTCCAGTGGCAGCAGGCTGGACAGGAGGACCACATGTTCTAGCGGTGGTAGGCTGGGCCGGAGAACCGCTGCCGCTTGTAAAAAGCATGCAGTTTATAGAGCATTTTCACTTAGCACCCTTCCCCTAACAACCTCCAGTTGGCAACCTTCATTGAACTCAAAGACTCTTGATCCATAGGACCGGGCGGGGGCTCAGATGTTCCTCATAGATGAGAAAGTAATCTCCAGGTTTGCCACTCCCAGTTCCTCGGAAGTCCAAATACACATTCAGGTGTGTCTGCCACACAGCATCATTCTCAGGGTATGCTTAAGTAATTGCTGTCAGGTGTCGCTGTCTACCATACACAGGACTCCTAGGAAAGTTTTCCTCACTGTTAATGGGACACACAAGAAGAGAAAGGCATTGACTTGGTGGTCTTTGTAGCCTCCTTATAACTATGTGAGCCAAAACCCAAGGGGAAATAACAATAAGCTTAGGATGGTGGAGTAGAAAGACAGCACCGACCTTGGAAATGGCCCTTATGGCTAGCACCTCCTACGTTCTCTGCCTGGAGACAAATATGTAGTACCCATTCCCCTTGGAGTCCAAAACCTTTAACATGATCAGTTTCCTCTCTCTAGCCAGACTAACTTTATTGTTTAATTCTTCCAGTGCGATAAGCCTTTTCCTCGCCTCCAAATATTCAGTGTCTGGCTCATTAATAAATGCTTGATAAATACTGGTTAAAAGTTAATGTTACATTTTTAAAATGAAAGACTGATTATACACGAGATTGATAAACTTGGGAATGTATAAGCTGAGTTGGGTTTTCATAGGAGCCAGGACAGCCCAGGCAATCCTTCATCTATATGGTATGTTTCTTTCTGATGCTTTCTTCACTGTCCTTCCCTTAACCTTCTCTCTTCCTCTCTCTTCCCTTCTAGGCTGTTATCCTTGCCATCTGCAGCAGCCCCTCCAAGCTGTGGAGATCAGGTCATCGGGAATGCCCATTTATGGCAATGGAAGAAAGAAAAAGGGGTCTCCTCCCATCCTTACCACTGCATTCTCCCACCAACACTGCTCCTGTTCCACTTCCACAACTTAATTGTTGACAATTTAACAGTGGGTTTCTGGAAACAGTGCTGCCTTCGTGATGGTCTAACTACCAGAGTTATTCCAATAGCAGGAATTTCAAGCCACGTAAGGGGAGCCATGTCAGGCTGCCAGATGGTGGGGAAGACAGGTGTGGGTGAGCTGGCTTCAGACTAAAGGAAGAGGGGATCAAGTGTTGAAATCACATTTGAGAAAAGGAGTCAAGCGAACCTCATCACCCATTATGGAGCCCTGTTATATCCTTTAGTGCTATTTGGACTTGGATTGAACCTGTGACAAATCCTTTGCTTATGCTTCTTCCATCCCTGCTTCCATGTTATATCCTTTCCCCTTCTAAAATGGTAATAATGAGAAATAACTATTACTAATTACCCTAGAACATAAATTTCATTTAAGATGTCACAATCAGAATATCATCCTCAGTTTTTCAGAGCTGCAAATTACCCATGGTTATATGCAGGTAGTACTAAATGGACAGATCTGGGATCAAGCTCAGGGCTTTGTGACTTTAAAATTCTTGTTCTGCTACCTTCCAAGTGGCCTAGGGTGATTTGCCCTAAACGGTTCACCTCTGTATGATGATGCATCCATGCAGTGGGGCTTATAGAAAGTGAATGTGGAGCCTCAGAGCCTTAATCTTGAAGCGGGCTCTCTAGAAGGAAGCTTGCAGAAGGAGTGGGGACTCAATGGGATGCTGTTTTCTCATTGTGTTTCAGTGATGACTGAAAATCTGTTGCCAACAACTATCTGGAAACAATGTTTTGACGATCCACCACCCCACCCCTCCAAACCACTTTCTTGCACATACTCCAGAATAATAGACAGAAGAATTTAATACATGTGATGCTTTGCCTTCCATTTACACTATCATAAATTACAAAGTATTGTTCACTTCACAAAATAAAACCATTTCCAGATAATTTTTTGACAGTATCAAGAAGTACATAAACTACAACAAACAAAGCTGTACAGTTGGGAGGAGGGATAATAGCAGGGAAGAGGTCAAACCATTCTGACCTCCGTGTGCCAATGGAGTCCATCTGCATAGCCCTTGGGACTGTTCAGGTCAACAGTCACACGGTGATGCTCCACGTAACACAGTCATTCTCTTCTGCTCACTCCAAAGCATGATTGGTGAGTTTACACAAATCATCTCAATCAAAGGAAAAGACATTGTGGTTGGATTTTTTAAAAATCTAGATTTACAGTTTTTGATGTTTTAAATATTTCACCTATGTTACAAAATATAGAAATCTTGGTGTGAAAGGCTCATGCTAAGATAAATATAACCAAGAGAATGGAACTATAGTAATAAAATCATATTGAATTATCCACACAGAGCTACTTTTGTCAAGGAGGAACAAATATTTGGTAAAAACCAACCTTATTCTCACTTTAAAAAATAGGTTTCTAGAACAAAAATGAAAAACATTGACAATTCTGCAGATTCGCTTTTCACCAATACAGAAATGTGGCAAAAATACAATTTGATATTAACAGATGAATTCAGAGGGCTTGGCCGGGAAGAAAAGAGGGAAAGTGCTAACTTTTTACACAGACCAGATACATCCAGTGTTCTCAAATAATTTCAGGTACAATGACCGCATTCTGTATCTTCTGGGATACACACTCATGATACGAAAAGACTATGAGCAATTCCAAAGCATACTTTGGGAATTCACAAAATTTGTATGAAAAGAAAATTGGTGGACATTTCAGACCATCCTACAATTGCTATAAATATATACCATACAATAGAAGAATGCCAGTGCTTAAGAGCAAAAACTGTTAAAAGCAGGAACACAAGGGGCAGGTGAAATTTCATTGAAAAGCACTGAGGAGGACAGAGGTATGTCGAGATAATACTGCATTCGTGGTCAGCTTTTTCAGGGTGTCACAGCAAAATGAGGGACAAGGTACACAGGGTAATAACCAATGCACTGCATTGAGTTCTATTTGCTAAAAATAACATTCTTGTGGCTAAAATAAAAATACGTTTTATGATATAGGTTTCATTGAACATTGAACAGAATTGTCTTCTTTTTGTAAGTGGAAAATGTATAACTGTATCAAGTACCTTTATGAATTAAGTTCCCTTTTATTACCAATAAGACTGAAATTTAAAGGTCTACATTGTTTTTAATAAATTAAAGATGTATTAATCACTCTTCCAGCAAACCAGACATACATAGGAGGCACAGCAAAAGACCCAAGGCGAGGGAGCTTCCCTCACCTTCACCCTTGTTCTCACGTGGAGGTGGCGCATGTCTGTGAGACACAGTACCCCACTCAGCGATCCTCTGCGGTCCAGCAAATTCTAGCACTTGTTTGGAAAACAAATCAAGTGGTAAGAAAAGTTTTTATTCCTTTAGCTTTGTCAACTTGGATGGGGCTGAGGCCATTCAACTCATTTCCCTGATGGATTAGAATAAAACGTCTTCGTTTTCTATTAAAATCTGCACAATCAGCTTTTGGTACCGCATATCATGCAGGGTGGTAAGGGTGCTGTCCTCAGGGGGCCTCATCAGAGTGGGCCCAAACACGATCCCCAGATTTTCTGCATTCATGAAATTGTCTTTTTCATTCATAGTAACCCTGCAAAACACACATACAGAACAGAGACATTATGGAGACTTGAGGATTGATTTTCTGTACTGATTATGTATGTAAGTCCCAAGAACATCTCTGGTTCAGGAAATTGCAAGAAAAAATTGGGAATCAGAATGGCAGAAAGGTATTTTTGAAGGGTAATTTACCGATTTTTTGTTTTATATTGTTGACATTGCCTTTGCCAGTGGAAATGAATTACATATGTGAATCTGGCAGGAACACAATTTTTTAAATTAGAAAATTAGTCCTCCTTATTAAGTAAATATGGAACTATCATTTAAGGAATACTGGTTTGTAGGGGCAGCAGATTCTGAGGCTGGCCCATGGTCCTTTCACAGGCCTCATACGGAAGGCTTTTTTTCCTCTTGTGGCTTCCTGCTGGTCTGTATGCTGGAGAGTGGGAAGGGAAGGGCAGGATCCCTGTCTGCTGGGAGGACTGGTGCCAGAGGAGAAAGGTTATGTGTAGAATGGGCTGTCATGAATTTAGGAAGAACCAGGCCGTTATCGTGGGGTGGGGGAATGGCTGCAATGTGGCCAAACTGGAAGGCAGTTGGACATTATTTGTAGTTCCCACAGGATGAGGTCTACAGCAGTTGAACAGCAGTTGAAATTAAAAATCATCATTTTGACATCCAGATAAGAACTGCAGAGCCTTTAAGAATAAAATTCAAACTGCAAAGTTGGTTTAATATCTTCCTCATGGAATAAAATTATAATCTCCCAGAGTTATGTTTTCACAAATTTAAGTTTCAGAATGTTCCTAATAGATGTAAAAGGGAGTGGGTTCTCCAAAAAAGAGCAAAATATAATTAAAATGTGTTTAGGTTGTGCATAGAAAGCCATCCCTTTCTATTTCCTTATAACTCATTAGGATTAGCCATTGAGTATTATTTTAAGGTCAACCCAGTTTGGGTCATGTCCATGCCACAAAGCTAAGAGCAAGGTTGGAAAGAGGACATTTCTCACCATCAAAGTGCTCACAGCTTCCTCTTAAGTCAGGCACTATGCCTGACCGAACAAGATGGCTAGCAAACCCACTATGATAAAGATACAGTATTATTGGCATTTAAGGTTCAGCTGAAAGGTGTCAGCATTTTTTCTGGTAATGGTACTTTGCCTTCCAAATTGTAACTGGATATTGATCACAATAAATATTTTACAGCTGACTGAAAGCCAGATGTGACACCCATAATTATCTAAAAATTACTTGTACTCCTAAATTCAACAAATTAATCAAAATGGGAATATTCTGAGCTAAATGTTACCATCACCTGTCACCCTGAATCTGAGCAACAATATTGTATGTCTTAAAAGGTAGAAAAATAAAACCTCAATACCTACTGTTTATACAGTCCTCAGTTTGCCTCTTTTCACTTACTAAGTAGATCTGCGAACTGGTCAATGTAGACAATTTTTGGTTCATTTTGTCAAAGAATGGGCTGCTGCCAAATGTCTTTCAAAAACACAGAGGAACACAGATGTGCCCTGATCCTTCCAATGTTATAACACCAATTCATCAACCTCATTACACATGTGCAGTGAGAGAGAGAGAGACAAGGTTTAGGGAGAGTAGTGTCACCAGAGGTTCTAGTGGCCCATAAACATCCAGATGTCTCCATCTGTGTCTCCCACACACTCACACAGACAGTTCTGTGTGCCACAGGTACTCTCTGAGATGGACCTCAGTGATACGCCTCCTGTAATTTACACCCTGCATCCCTTCCCCTAAAGTATGGGCTGGACTTGATTTGCTTCTAACAGATAAAACATGGCAAAAGCAATAGGATGTCACTTCTGAGATTAGGTTACAAAAAGACTGTCTTTCATATTGGTGGTTCTTGCTTTCTTGTTCGGAGAGAAGCCAGTTGGCTTCTAGTAGATTTGCTAGAAATATCACTCCCACAAGTTTTAATTTAAACTGCCTATGGAGAAATGCACATGGCAAGGAACTGAGGGTTGACTCCAGCAAACAGTTGGTGAGGGAGTGAAGCCTTCAGTCCAACAGCCTTTAAGGAACTGAATCCTGCCAACAACCATGTGAGTGGGCTTGGAGATGGATGCTACCACCATCAAGCCTTCAGGAGTGAATTTTTTTTTTCTTGAGACAGAGTCTCATTCTGTTGCCCAGGATGGAGTGCAGTGGTGCAATCTTTGCTCACTGTAGCCTTTGTCTCCTGGGTTCAAGCAATTCTCCTGTCTCAGCCTCCCGAGTAGCTGGGATTACAGGTGCATCAAAGCCTTCAGATAAGACTGCAGCCTCATTACAGACCTTGAACTGGAGGCAGCCAGCTGATTCACACCTGGATTCCTGACCCTTGGAAACTATGAGATAATAAATGTTTACTGTTTTAAGCCACTAAGATTTGGGAGAAGTTTGTTACTTAATGATATAGAAATCACACATCCAGAAAAATAAGAGATCAGGCTGGAAATGTGCTCTCCCAGGAGGCAGGCAGGCTCAGGAGCCTGGAAAGGGGCAAGCAACAGGGGGATGAACAGGACACAGAGTACAGGGCTTGTGTCAGATGAAGATGCAGACACAGAGGCAGAGTAGGTAAAGGCTATGCATCAGCCTGCCTGGGATCCTGGCTTCACCTCTTCAAATCAGCTACGTAACCTCCCCAAGTGTCAGCAATCTCACGAGTGACACAAGGCCCCTAATGGTGCCCCCCCCAACTTTTTTTTTTTTTGAGACGGAGTCTCGCTCTGTCACTCAGGCTGGAGTGCAGTGGCATGATCTCGGCTCACTGCCAGCTCTGCCTCCCGGGTTCATGTCATTCTCCTGCCTCAGCCTCCTGGGTAGCTGGGACTACAGGCGCCTGCCACCATGCCCGGCTAAGTTTTTGTATTTTTAGTAGAGACAGGGTTTCACCGTGTTAGCCAGGATGGTCTCGATCTCCTGACCTCGTGATCCGCCCGCCTCGGCCTCCCAAAGTGCTGGGATTACAGGCGTGAGCCACCGCAATGGTGCCCCTTTCATAGGCATGATACACTGAAAGTGCCTGGCGTGGCTCCTGGCACGGTGAAGCTCCAGCAGTTATGGCTGGGGCTGGAGGCTCGGTCCCCTCAGGAGGTTGGGGAGGAATGCCGTCCACTTTTCCTTATGCATTAATTGCTCTAGGGGCAGAGCAGGCTTTGTGCATGAGGCATAAGCTTACTTTTTGAGGTGGATCATTAGGTACCGGAGGGTTTCATAGTGGGCAGGAGGCAGCAGCATCAGCACTTCATGGACGGCTTCCAGCCTCTCATCTGCATTGGAGATTTCTGTGAAGTTCATGCATGATGGGTATTAGTTCAGAGGGTGGCATTCAAGTTTTTAGAGAAGTAACAAGAAGTTTTTGTTTTAGCCAGAAATGGGGGAACGATTCTATTAAATTGATGCAATCCAAGCACTGTTTCACTTAATCAATTTGTTGGTGTCCTGTGTCATTCGGGAAAGAGTTTGAGGCTGAGCACCACATGCTTATTGAATGTCCTCTGGGTGGCCAGAGGCTGGACACTGTCCTTGCCCTCCATGAATCCGTAAGCCAGCAGAATGCATACAGTCACGGAGCATATGTGCAGACTGTGCTTTGCTTTCTTCTGAACAGTAGATTTGCTAGAAATATCACTCCCACAAGTTTTAATTTAAACTGCACCAACTACAGTACTATTCCCTTGAAGTTATCTAATGAGTCTTTCTCTGGCAGACTTCTACAACCTAATACATTTTACAAGGCAAGGACATTGGCAATAAGCCACCCAACTCAGCCTGCACTCATGGCACTTCTCACTATAGTGTTGGCATGCTTAACCCCGGTGCACAGCCCAGGTTAGGAAGTGGAGACTGGACACATTAACAATGGGAGGAAGAGTACATGCTTCTGGCTTTTGGGCCTCTGATAGGTACTGGCAGCTACTCAAAGAAAACCCTCCTGCTATTCCTCCTGGAGTAGAGGATGCTAGAACCTTCTTTGCCAGGACCACTAGGGCCCCGGAAGGAGGGAATAGTCTTACTGGGGTCAGGGCCTCAGCTCATCTGAAAAGTGCATCTCACACTGATCCCAGCCTGCCTTTGTGTCTCCCCATCAGGCATCTCATTACTATATTTAACAGCATACCTAAACTTTTCAACCTTTAAAGGTTTTTTTTTTTTTTAATAAAAACAACAACAACAAGCAAAAACTTCCTCAAAGTGAGCTTGACTTCTGTGTCATGTGTCTCAGCATCTGAAGCTCCCTTTGGTCACATTTTGCCTCTTCCTGGGCAAAGTGTAGTCCCTTCCGCCAGACCTGCCCCCTTTTCACTCTCTTTTCTCTCCTACAGCAGTGGGCCCAAGGGCCAAACACTGAATGAGCAACCCTGGGCTGATGGAAGGCAAATCCTGATGTCCCATTCCTGGACGCATGAGCTCAGCTCTCCAAGCCTTGCTTTTCTTCTCTGTAAAATGGGATTATAAGATTTGCCACATGGGGTAAATGAGGGAATTAAACTAGAAGGCACTGGTGAGACATTCTAGTATACTGCTTGACACAGTATATACTCTGGCCTTCTGTTCATTTTGAACAGCATCAATAGACAAAACTTGGTTGTGACTTTAACTGATTAGGAATGAAATTCTGCCTAACAGATAAAAGTAGTTAATCTAGACCAAGCTTGTCCAACCCGCAGCCTGCGGGCCGCACATGCCCAGGACAGCTTTGAATATGGCCCAGCACAAATTTGTAAACCTTAAAACATTATAATATTTTAAAATAATTTATTTAAAAATTATTTAAAATTATCATTAAAGCTATCATTAATGTTAGTATATTTTATGTGTGGCCCAAGACAATTATTCTTCTTCCAATGTGGCCCAGGGAAGACAAAAGATTGGATCCCCATGATCTAGTCAGTCCTCACTGAAGATTTTTTTTTTTCTGCGACAGAAATATTCATGCTTTCAACACAGAATAGGCCTGACTGTGTTGGTTCCCAGCATACAAGGAACGATGCGGACAGAACTGCCTGACACATATGTCAGTCCACAGAGTTCTTAGAACTGGTTCAAGTCAGCTGTTGAACTATGCCTGGTCATCTATTTACCGTTGTGCCCTCACTTGACAAGACAGGTACAAATGCAATAATTTAGACAGTTCTGAGTTTTAATTTTCTGAAGGTCAAAAGCATTGTACTTAAAAATTTCTTAAAAATAAAAATTTAATTTGAAGTACTTACTTGCTGCATCTATAAATTTGGAGTAGGTATCATATGTGATGACAGGGATGGGTAAGTCTCTGAAATACAGTTTAAGGGCTCCAGTGATGATGTTTATGTCTGGATAGACATTGGCAGATATATCGGCCTTTTCACCATCTGAAAAACAATCAGTGATCCAAGTCCTAATTAGGACCTTATTTCGCCAAGGCATGTACAGAAAGAAAAAAAAAAAAATCCAATGGTGAATGCTCCCTGACAAGTCTCAGCTAACTCTTTTGGGTTCTAGTAACACTGAAGTGTAGGAGGCAACAGAAGGGAGTTTGGTGAGAGGGAGGTAGGCTCTGAGGGTTTGTGCAGGCAAACGGGTGATAAAACAAACTTCAAACAGTGCTTTGGGTCCCCCCGCCCCTGGTAATTTGCTAAATAGAAATTTAGCACAATAATTGTATTATAGACACAAAGGTTCATAATAAAATGACAATCTAATCTGAAACAAGAGAACATCAAGAAGCTCTAATACATTTCCACCAGTGTTTTTTAGACTTGGATTTGGAAGTCACATTCACAAAATGATTGTTGAATAGTTTCAGTTCTTATTGTTTCTTTCAGGTTCACTGAAGGGGTTTGTTTATTTGTTTTTTTAACTTGATCCTTCCTCCCTGATCCCCTAGGAATTTAATCTGGGAAACTTTACCCTTTTCTCATGGATATGTGATGTTATATTTCTTATCATTCTTTTTTTTCTTTTTTTTTTTTTTTGGTGAGACAGAGTCTCACTCTGTAGCCCAGGCTGGAGTGCAGTGGTACAATCTTGGTTCACTGCAACCTCCGCCTCCCGGGTTCAAGCAATTCTCATGCCTCAGCCTCCTGAGTAGCTGGGATTACAGGCACGTGCCACCACACCTGGCTAATTTTTGTATTTTTAGTAGAGGGGGGAGTTTCGCTATGTTGGCCAGGCTGGTCTCGAACTCCTACCTCAAGTGATCCACCCGTCTCGGCCTCTCAAAGTGCTGGGATTACAGGTGTGAGCCACTGTGCCCGGCCTATTTTGACAGTTATTTCACTTCAGCACTTTAAATATATTATACTAATGTATCTGGTATTTATTGTTGGCCCAGAATTATTTCTTTGTAGGCAGTACAAAGGATCAGCACAGGAGTTCTGACCTGCTCCGTTTCCACCTCCCAAAGTGCTGGGATTCTAGGTATCCGCCATCGTGCCTGGCCTACATTTCTTACCATTTCTAACAATAATTCTCAAGACATTTTTTGACTTTTAGTTTTACCATTAGGAAATACCAGTCCAATTTGTCATAGCCTATGACATTTTTTGGATAAAAATGTTTTAATCATAGGAATTTTAAATATCTTTTACATAAAGAATTAAAAGAATAAATGCCTCAGCAAATTTGGTTCTGAAGATAAAAAAAGCTGCCGATGTATAGAAAACAGTAAAAGCATAGAAGATATGCCATGTTTATATTTCATTATTTACATATTTAGCAAACAGTTATTGAGAAGCTATCATGTGCCAAGTACCATTAAGCCCTGATGAACCAAAGAAAAGAGATACTCTCTGCCAACCAACAGTTCTAGTTAGATTGACAATCAGACATGCAACTCAACAATGACAAGGAAATGGGAAGATTGCTATGCTGAAGAAGTGTGGGGAATGTGGGGGGTGGGGTGTGGGAAAAGGAAGTTGAGCTCTGAGGTTAGCTTGGGGCAGTCAGCGAGGCTTCCTCAAGGAGGAAAGGCTTGAGCTGACCCCTGATTATAGGTGTTTGCTAGGCAGAGAGGTGAATACATTTCAGATAGACAGGACAATGTGAGCCGAGGCACTTCTTCATGGCAGCAAATAGGGTGTATTTCAGGATTGCTGGAGTGTACAGTAGAGTAGGGAGGAGGAACTGGAGAGAAGTCTAAAGAGAGAGGGAGGGCAACCTCACTGATTTCATATACCACACTACAAAGTAGAGGCTCTATCCAGTAGGCTCTATCCAGTAGGGGTTCCATGTCTTCACTGGCTGTGCCAGAATTACTTGGATTGCTTATTAGAAATACAGATTCTTGGGCTTATCCAGCTTTCTGAATGAGTCTTCAAGTTGGGTCCCGGTGACCCGTATTTTTAACAGGATCCCCAGGATGGCCATGATATCTGACTTAAGAGATAGTATGTTCTAGAGAATATACACCACAGTTATAAAGAACAAAAGCAGTTCCCTCCTACACGTCCACTGCCTTCCCCTACATTAGTGCTAGGGATGCCCTCCCATCCTTATGATCCCTTCTTTGGAGCTTTGAGAGAAGGAGAAGAATGGGATCCTGAGACAGGGGATGCAGACGGGTACTCCAATGCCATATGGATTGTCTGCCCGTTGACAGTGATCACTTATCAATGGCTGCAAAGGAAACACTTTGCCCAGTGAGGCAGAAACATGAGATTTGTAAGCCATTATTCCTTCGTTTCTTGAAGAACAACTCTTAGTAGTTCTGAAACCCCATTTCTACTATGATTAAAATCTAGTTCCAAACGAGAAGGGTGTTAGGATGTCAGATGGCATTCAAGAAAGTACAAGCTTACCTCTGTCAAATGCCATTTTGACATCTTCAATGTGTTCAGTGAACCCAGAGACTCTGTAAAGGCCTTCCGATTTTAATCCTGAGAGAGAGAGAGAGAGAGAGAGAGAGAGAGAGAGAGAGAGAGAGAGAGAGACTAACTTTAGCTTCTTGAAACATCTGGGAAAAAAAAGACTCTAATTTCACATCTATACTACATGCTATCAGGAAATGAGCAAACATAGACAGCGATCTTATTTATCACACAGTTGCATCAGAACTTGGACTTGTCTGTCTCAATTTCCAGGCAAGTCTGTTCTCATTTGCCCATGTAGCAGTGGAGATCTCAGTGTAAATCCGGTCTTCATCCTTCTCCGCTTTGCAAAGAGAACTGATATTTAAGATTCTCATGGACCGTTCCCTTACTTCCTTTCCTTTGTTCATGAGCTTGCTGGACACGAATTTCATCATTGTAGGAAGCAACCTTTCTTCCTAGCATCATCTTTCTTTTATTAATTTCTGTGGGTACATAGTAGGTGTATGTATTTATGGGGTATATGAGGTATCTTGATACAGGCATAAAATGTGTAATAATCACAGCAGGGTAAGTGGGGTACCTAGCATCATCTTAATCCATGTGCTATATTGTATGCAGCACTGTACTAGATACACATGTGTATGTATGTGGATATCTAATATGTATTACTCTGATTTTACTGGAAAAAATTAGACTATTACAGCCTTTCATGTTTACTTGTAAATAAGACTATGTTAACTGTTTAATTAAAAATGATTACTTGTTATACTTTTAGACAACTGATTATACAAACAGATGCAGGGAAATAAAGTTTTAGTTATTGCTTCTGGAAATTGGATCACTGCAAATTTAGGCTAAGAAAAAAAGACTTGGTTTCTGTTCCTGGAGCTTATTGATTTGTTAAGATATGTCCTAAAAACAAGTCAGTTCCCAAAAGTATGAGCAGGGATAAAGGACTGGATTTCAGACTTTGTATGGCACAAACTAGCTGCTATCAAAACTATAGCTACCGTAAAAATAAGCAAACAAATAGCTTCTGCTGCTGCTGCCATATATTCTGCCAAACCCTTGATAACTCACATATGCTCTTGTTTTTTCATTTGGAAAACATTTATGGAGTATGTATTATCTGCCGTATATAAGGGTCTTCATTAGGTATGCATCAGAGACAACAAATACATGGCGTAAATCATGAATACTTCCCCTCATCCCTCCTGTGACCATGACAGATGCTCTTAGTTGATCTCAGCCCTTTTTCCCACTGAGCCCTATTTAGCCTCAGAATTCATCTCAGTTCCAATTGCTCAGGTGACCACTACTGATCAACTGTAGTTGTCACATAAGACGAAACTTGTGGGTCATCCTGTTCTAAGATGTTGGTGCATATGAGCACATCTCATTCCAGTTGGAACATGCACTGCCACAGAGGCACAGACCCAGTGGATTATGGGAGCCCCTAGCAGTGAACATTGAACTCTGCCTGTTGATGGATGAATCAAAGTTCTGGCCTCTGGTGAGGCTCTCTTTCTGGCTCATAGATGGCCACCTTCTCTCACACGTCCTTTCCTTGGTATATGTGCATGGAGAGTGAGAGAGAGAGTTTGCTCTTTGGTGTCTCTTCTCATAAGGACATTAGTCATACTGTTTAGGGTCCCTCCCTTAGGACCTCATTTAGCCTTAATTACTTCTTTGGAGACCTCCATCTCCAAAGACAATCACACTGGTGATTAGGGTTTCAACATGTAAATTTGGTGGGGTAGGAGAAACAAACATTCAGTCATAAGATTCACTGAATCACTTTCAAAGAAATCCAGGTTTTCAAGGAACATAGAAAAACCCATGCTTTTGTTCTCACTCATAAGTGGGAGTTGAGCAGTGAGAACTCGTGGACACAGGGAGGGGAACATCACACACTGGGGCCTGCTGGAGGGTGGGGGTCAAGGGGAAGGAGGGCATTAGGACAAATACCTAATGCATACAGAACCTAACACTTAGATGATGGGTTGATAGGTGCAGCAAATCACCATGGCACATATATACCTATGTAACAAACCTGCACATTCTGCACATGTATCCCATAACTTAAAGTTAAAAAAAAAAAAAATCTACGCTTTAAACAATACACCAAGTTGTATGGTTTAGAGTATACTTAAATGGGGGTAATTTTCCTGATTTTAGCCCATGCTTCACTGAGCAAAGCATCACCCTGTATTACATTGAGATGCTTTTTTTTTTTTTTTTAATTTTTTTTTTTTGAGACGGAGTCTCGCTCTGTCGAGATGCTTTTTAAAGAAGCTAATCTTTGAAGGAAATGATAAAGGATGGTAAGAGTTTGCCAGAGTAGCAGAAGCTGCCAGCTATCCTTCCAATATTTGTTCTCCCATTCTTCTGTTGTAACAGCACCTTTGATTTTTAGAACAATATCCATTGCAGTAGCCATTAAACTCTGGCCCATGTGGGAGCAGAGGTGACATTTATGGCTTCTGTGGCCTTAAAGGAACTGAGGATGCTCTTTTCCGCTTCCTGTTGAGTGAAATGCAGATGAGATGGTGGTGGCCAGCTGCGACTGTGCACGCAGGATAGTACTCAAGCAGGACAGAGCAACAAGCTGCAGTGCCTGGGTTCCTGCCATGGGCGAACAGACTATTCCTGGACTGCTCCTGGGTACCTGGACTATTACTGAGGAGAGAAATAGATTTCTATCTTGTCAAAGGCACTGTTATTTAGGGTCTCTGTGACAGCATTGAGATGTACAGGCTCCGTAATATAGTTAGGCAGATTTGGAAGTGGAGGTATGGGTGTGGGTCATTCCAAGAAAACATAAAATTAACACAGATTGAGTTCGGTAGACTGAATGCTGTACTAGGTCCATTTATGTATCAAGTCACTTTAATCCTCGCCAACCACCTTATGAGGTACAGTTGATTCCATTCATATTATAGATGAAGAAACAGATATGCAAATACAGTAAGTAACTTGCCCAAGGTCGTGCTACAGCCAGTAAGAGACAGGTCTGAGAATTTAACTTCAAGTCCTTGATCTTTTCATTCTACCACATCATGGAGAGACAAATGAACATAAAAGAACATTTGGAGAACAATAAGGAATTTTTTACGAATGGAAGACAGGGAAAAATGTTGGCAGTGGTGGCTCCACAGCTGGGTATGTGAGTGTCACACAAATTTCTCTCAACCCATTCTCTGGTTCTGCTTGCATGCTTAGGCCCCTAATACCTGGGGCTCTAATCCCTGTGCTGTGACTCTTTGGGCATCAATTCCTAATTTGTGCTACTCTATCTCACTCTTGTACTAGGCAAAATCAGTGCAGTGCCCCCTATTCTTAAATATTAGACATGTCAGTAATGTTGCCTGAATTATCAGTTGTCTCTGCTAAGGATCACAATGGGAGGACCCCAGCTTCTTCAGAAAAGCCCTGATTGCAGGCTCTGGAGAGGCTGATAATCTGACCTCAAACTGCAGGGCCCAGGGCCACTTGTCCCAACCACTCATCCAGAGGCAGGGAATCCCTCCTTTCCTCTTACCCAGTTTAGCCACTGGATTAATATGTTCACCAGATCCCAAAGCACTCATTAAGCTCTGTCAGCCACAGTGGTGAAAAGATAGAAGGCATTTCTACACTCTGGGATTAAATTAGCAAGTTCTCAAGGAACAGGATAGCTACGGTTTTCCCCCTCCACAGAAAAGGGAATAATTTCCTCTCTCTAAAAGGGTTGGGATAATAAGCTATGACATCCTCTTTAGTTGTGCTTTGGAAAAAATGGGGTAGTTCACCAATGAATATATATGTATAAAATATATTAAGCCAGTTAGGACACAATAATGGATACCAAGTATAACAGAATATGATACATGGCAAAAGTGGTTTAAACCTTACAAAAAGGCTCTATACATGGCCAAATCACCCAAATTACATCCAGCAACATCGGTGAACATTCTGATACTGAACAGTGGCCAAAGAAAGCACAAATAAAGGAAAAGTGACTCATGTACAACATAAAGAACATTTTTTGTGCACAACGTGCAGGTTTGTTACATATGTACCCTAGAACTTAAAGTATAATAAAAAATAAAAAATAAAAAAATAGAACATTCTTTTGAAATGTTTCTATCTTCCTTGTTTATTTTTCATTGAACAGATCTTTTAAATCTTTGAACTCTCCTCTTTGAAATAAACCATGAATATTAGGAGCACATTTTTATATGGTAGGAGATGTATGTGTTGCTCAACAATTTCTTATTTAATAGAAGCACCTTTTTTTTCTTTTTCTTTTTTTTTTTTTGAGACAGAGTCTCGCTCTGTCGCCCAGGCTGGAGCGCAGTGGCCGGATCTCAGCTCACTGCAAGCTCCGCCTCCCGGGTTTACGCCATTCTCCTGCCTCAGCCTCCGGAGTAGCTGGGACTACAGGCGCCGCCACCACGCCCGGCTAGTTTTTTGTATTTTTTAGTAGAGAGGGGGTTTCACTGTGTTAGCCAGGATGCTCTCGATCTCCTGACCTCGTGATCTGCCCGTCTCGGCCTCCCAAAGTGCTGGAATTACAGGCTTAAGCCCACCGCGCCGGGCCGAAGCACTTTTTTTTAAAAGATCCAATTCAAGCCTCACCTCTGCCATAACCTTTTCCCATTGTCCTTAAATAGGATTAAAACATTTTCCTTTGTGACTCCGTGGTACCTTGAACACAGCCATCCACAATGTTTGTTTATTTGCTCCCCTGATTACTCACTCTAAAGTATGAATTTCTTCCATGCCTCAGCCTCCCGAGTAGCTGGAACTACAGGTGTGTACCACCACACGTGGCTAATTAAAAAAAAAAAAAAAACTTGTAGAGATGGGGTCTCACTATGTTGCCCATGCTTGTCTTGAACTCCTGGGCTCAAGTGATTGTCTGGCCTCAGCTTCTGCTGGGATTACAGGCGTGAGCCACTGCACACAGCTGAAGCATGAATTTCTTGACGGTGTAGAATGGTGCCTTTATTACCTCAATGCCCAGCAAGTAATAAATGTTCAGTAAACATTTTTTGAGTGCATATATGCATGGCTTATATATAGAATGGAAATTGATAGAGCTGGTTGGATTGAGTCTATCTGTGAGAGAGAATGAGTGTGTGTGTGCGCACACATGCCTAGGTCATTTTCCCAACAAGAGTAGTAGAGCAATTCTGTTTCCTTGACAACAGTAAAAACAAACAATAAAAATAAAATCACTATGCTACTATAATAGGAAGTATTTTCCAAACCTCTTGCTTCAATTTCCCGAATGCATATGTCCACCACCATGGGTCTCTGAGTGTTGTGAGCCTTCACAAGTGTTGTGAGGTCACAACAGTATACTTTCTTGATCCTCTTGAGATCAGGTTGGCAGTCATTGGGAACGTGCTTGGAACACTGTTTGTGTACGTTCAATCCACAGTCTGTAAACAAAGAAGCCACATTAGCTTAGCCCAGCCCTTTTGTCAAAGCACAACTCAAATTATATGCTGCCAAAAATAAAAATATCACCACCCAAGGGTTTGACATATTTCTCTGGAACATCTATCCCATTTCTAGGTGATACTGTCTACAGGATAAATACGAGTATCATCTCTAATCACTAAACCCCTATATGATTCCATTTTTCTCATTAAGCCTTCTCTGTCACTGGACCTTGAGAACAGAACATCTGAGACAGCTTAGGTAATTGATCAGGTTTTTTTGTATATGTTTTCCTGTTTCAGGCTGGAACCCTTTGGGTCCACAAGTAGGATTTTGGGTTTGGATTCCCAGACAGTCCTGGCTTATAAAGGGCACCTAGGGTTTGTTCCAGGCTGTTTCCTTTAAGCTCTTGATGCTGCTTGTGTGGGAGGCAGAGTTACTCTTTCCGCAGGACTCTCTAATCTTTGCTTTGAGGAGTCCATGACCATTGTTATCCTCCTCCCCTTTCCTGGAAGGTTGCCCCATCGTTTCCAATCCCTTTCTCCTTGGGCAGTTTGGGTAGGCCGCTTTCCTTTCTATGTGCCTTATTTTGACACCTGTGAGTGGAAATAATGCCTAACTATATACACCAGTAGGAGTACTTGAGAGTTTATACCAATGCCATGTAATGTAATGTGATGATTATTTATAAAGTTCATATGAAACCCCAAAGCTGAAAAAGGTGCTTTTAAAGTTCAATGAACACAAGAAAAGCCTGTTAGCAGTTGATATCCACTGATGGAATTTCTCTGACGATAAAAAGGCACAGTTGGCCGGGCACGGTGGCTCATGCCTGTAATCCCAGCACTTTGGGAGGCCGAGGCAGGTGGGCAGATTGCCTGAGGCAAGGAGTTTGAGACCAGCCAACATGGTGAAACTCTGTCTCTACTAAAAATACAAAAATTAACCGGGCATGGTGGTGGACCCCTGTAATCCCAGCTACTCAGGAGGCTGAGGCAGGAGAATCACTTGAACCCAGGACGCAGAGGTTGCAGTAAGCTGAGATTGCGCGCCACTGCACTCCAGCCTGGCAACAGAGGGAGACTCCGTCTCCAAAAAAAAAAGGCACAGTCTACATTCAATGCTGAAGTTGTTTAAAGTTGATGTGCTGTCTACTCAAACTGTCTTCTAATACTGTTTTCCTAGGCACAAAGAATAACACATGTGCACACACGATAAGGAATATTGTAGTCATCTGCTTTATAAAATAGCACTTAAGCACATTAAGAACTTGAGAGGATCTAAACTTTTGTAAAATCAGTGGTAATTTATAAGTGATTTTCATGTAATTTTTATTGGCTTGAGTTCTCTATCTACCCTCCTTTCAAAGTAAAAAAAAAAAAGATCGAATTCATCTTTATCAACATGAGAAATTCAACAAAGCTCAAGTGACTTCAATAATATTTTGATACATCTATCTAGTGAATGTAAATTTTGGCTAACTGCGCTAAATAGAGTTGGCTGGGTTTCTTGTTGAATCCTCTTTTATAGAGATCATAATAGCACCTACCCCCTGGCATTAGCCATGAGGCTCAAATAAAACTTAATAAAGTGTTTAGCATAGTGTCTGAAATATAGTTAAGTACTATATATGTGTTAGGTCAAATAAAATAAATAGCAAATATGGTGATAAAAAATGTAAGTATATCTGCCCAGCTATTCTTCAGTGATTTCATTAGGAATTCTTAGTATGTCTTATAAACTTCATTAAATTTTTTTTTGTTAAATTCTGATAAATTTATCATTTTAACCATTTTTAAGCGTATGATTTGGTGACATGAAGTACATTCACGCTGTTATGCAACCACTACCACTGGCCATCTCCAGAACTTTTTTCTTTTTCCTTTTTATTATTATACTTTAAGTTTTAGGGTACATGTGCACAATGTGCAGGTTTGTTACATATGTATACATGTGCCATGTTGGTGTGCTGCACCCATTAACTCGTCATTTACATTAGATATATCTCCTAATGCTATCCCTCCCCCCTCCCCCCCACCCCACAACAGGCCCCGGTGTGTGATGTTCCCCTTCCTGTGTTCAAGTGATCTCATTGTTCAATTCCCACCTATGAGTGAGAACATGCGGTGTTTGGTTTTCTGTTCTTGCTATAGTTTGCTGAGAATGATGGTTTCCAGCTGCATCTATGTCCCTACAAAGGACACGAAGTCATCCTTTTTTACGGCTGCATAGTATTTCATGGTGTATATGTGCCACATTTTCTTAATCCAGTCTGTCATTGATGGACATTTGGGTTGGTTCCATGTCTTTGCTATTGTGAATAGTGCCACAATAAACATACATGTGCATGTGTCTTTATAGCAGCATGATTTATAATCCTTTGGGTATATACCCAGTAATGGGATGGCTAGGTCAAACGGTATTTGTAGTTCTAGATCCTTGAGGAATCGCCACACTATCTTCCACAATGGTTGAACTAGTTTACAGTCCCACCAACAGTATAAAAGGGTTCCTATTTCTCCACATCCTCTCCAGTACCTGTTGTTTCCTGACTTTTTAATGATCACCATTCTAACTGGTGTGAGATGGTATCTCATTGTGGTTTTGATTTGCATTTCTCTGATGGCCAGTGATGATGAGCATTTTTTCATGTGTCTGTTGGCTGCATAAATGTCTTCTTTTGAGAAGTGTCTGTTCATATCCTTTGCCCACTTTTTGATGGCGTTGTTTTTTTCTTGTAAATTTGTTTGAGTTCTCTGTAGGTTTCCAGAACTTTTTTCATCTTCCAAAGCTGAAACTCTATACCCATTTAACAATATAACTCCCCATCCACCTATCCCCTGTAAATACCACTCAACTTTCTACCTTTTGGAATTGCCACCCTGGGTACCACATATAATAGGAATCATCCATTTTCATTTAAGACCTAAAGCAACAACGTGTTTATGTAGAGTTTAATACTGATGTTTTATTAAAATTAAGATGTTCTATAACAAATGTAAAAATATTCCGTTTTTTTACAAAGCAGTAGAACTCCATATGCTACAAATAAAGTCCAGTGCATTCTAAAAATACTCTAAAAGATGTAATATATGGAAAGCTGAGAGGCAATGATGGTTCTTCCTAAGCTTTCATGATTAGTTTTCAGTCTCCCTGCTGCTAAGAGGAAATATAAGGCCAAAGAATAGCCATTGGAGAATACTAACAATATGGCCTCAGAAAATGTCTTATTTTAAAAAACAAAACCAGAAAAAAACCCCACAAAAACCCTTTTATCCCAGAGAAAGCTGAAAAGTTGCTGTTCACAGCTAATATGAAGCCCAGAGTTTTGTTCTCATAATATTGACTTTGGACCAATTTCTTGCTGAAATTGGATAATACCAGCAATTAGGGATATTTTTGGTAGGTTCAATATGGACAGGCCAAATTAATGACCACTGAGTAATTCAGATATTCCACCCCTTTGCTCAGTGGCTGAGCTGGGAGACATGTTGTGACTCCTGGCAAGTCAGTCTTTGGTGTTAATCAGGGTTTCTGAATATTTATGGAGAAGCTGTTTCTGAGCTATGTTGAACACCTCCTTGAACGTACACCTGCAATGGAGGAGGTAGAACTACTTGAACCATCCAGGTATCAATACCAGTGATTGGTATATTTACATAATAGAAGCTAGAAGCCCCTTCCAGGCAGAGAGGAGGACTTAGGGTTACAGGATGCTGTGAGCCAAAATGGGAAAGATCACCTTAATTAGTGTCATTACCTTATTGTATTCTAAATGCTCCTAAGATTTTAAAAATCATATCCTAGCAAGGAAGAAGTCAGTCATGGTGTTGGTAGAAACCTGATCAATATCAGAGGAGGCTGGTCTTGCTCCCAGCCACAGGTGTTTGCCAGAAAAACCATGGCAACATGAATTAGGAAACCCAGTTACGCATTAATTTGGCAACTCTTTATCATTGCTTTAGATGTACCTTAATAAGATGTGTGCTGTTAGCAATAGGTGTATACCTCCAGTTCCAGGTGGAAAATTACCCAGGCTTTCCAACTACTTTGAAAATATGTGATATCAAATCAAGGTGCATGGTTTCACTGATAATCTGATGACAAAGAGACACTGAGCATGAGCTCTGGAATCCGGCTGCCACTGAATCAATATTCTATTCCTTACTGCGCAGCCAAGGGCAAATAAGCCCCTGTGTCTTCTTTTTTTTTTTTTAAATGAAGGATAATTGCATCTCTCCCAAGGTCTGTTGGTGAGGCTAATGACATGATAAATAGAGATTAACAGGTGCCTGGTATATGGTAAATATTAACCAGCTCTATTACTATTTTTATGTCTTACCTTTTGTAGTAAGATGGCGTAGGAAAAGTATGGCTTTTCTAGCTATGCAGTTCCATCGGAATTTTTTTTTTCTTTTACGGACTACTGCCTATTGTAAGAGGCAGGTAGGTGTTTAAGGAAATGTACTGTTTTTCTTTCCTTGCATAAACATGAGATATTCTTTTTCATTCCTGCAAACCCTTGAAATAGTTTCCCCATTAAGCACAGACAGGCCTTGAACCCTGGAGAAAGCTAGACTTTTGAGCTACTCTGAGCACATTTCCCAGCTCTGGAGAGAGATCCTCCAGCTCAGCACAGTGGCATTTCATATCATTGGAAAAGAAGGAAGTTCTGTGTCTACCTGAGCACCGGACCCCTTGGGCGATGAGCCCCCACATGAAATTGGCACAATATTCACACCAATGTGGGCCTCGGAACGTGTGGACCTGTGATCCAAAAAGAAGCAAAATGTCAGAAAATTCAGAGTCATTTAAAGGCAGGTAGCTTCAGATATGTCAATGAAGATCAGCAGGAGCGATCCCCCACTGGGCTTCTCCTTCCAGTAAGGCAGTTGCAAACAGATCCTGAGAAAACAAAGATGTGCTTTGATCTTCGAAAATCCTTCATCAATACACCATGCTCCAGGACAGAGTCAGAAAGGAGCATGGAGAAACAGTTTACAGGCCATGCCATCAGCTAAGGAGTAAGACTCTGACCATCCACAACAAGGCACTGTGTAGACAAACCCAAGATAGCCCAAGCTGGTCGTTATAACCTGCATTTAGCTCAGCAAGTTCTGGAAGGCAAAACTCAATTACTGTGTCCTTTAGACTGAAGTTTTCCCATCTCTACAGTATCCAGGCAGGTATAAATAAGACATGATTATGGGATAATTAAAAAGTTCCAAGTCTTTGAGCTACTTCCAAAAAAAGGCCTTTTAAAAAGTAAAGGAGTTGGCTAAACATGCAGGCAACCAATAGGGCCTATGGAATTGCTTTCCCCAGAGATAAGTGTCCATATTCAGTAGGACTTAGTGTGGCCTTCAGGTAAGTAAGCTGAAAATCTTTCCTGCTTGACCAAAGTGCTGGTCTCATTGATTGATGCCCCCAGCCAGTTGTTAAATATTCTGAATATCACAAAGTAAGGATGGTCTTATCTCTGATTATTGAGGCATAGGTCCTCCTGTATTAAATTATGATTTAAAATAAAAACAAAACAAAGCAAAAATACTTGCATGAAGGAGCTTTAAGAAGCAAATGTGGCCATGGTCAATCTAAAATGACCACAGGCAGTCTATTGGGGGCATAAAAATGTGCACGAAAATGTCCTGAATTTTCACAAAGTTAAAATATTATAAAACATTATAGAAGGCCTTTCAAAGTCATAAACCTCTATTAATAAATAAAAGAAATGTAAACAACGTTTCTGTTTTACAAACTGCTTTTATTTAACAAAAAAGCAGGATGACGAGTATGGTCACAATTTAGAAAGGTGTTCATCCGAGTTCTACTTAAGAAAAAAAGAGTCTCTGTTTGAGTTCTTTATTCATACATGTTAGTAACTGGGTGTATATAAAGAGGCAAACAAAATGGATCTGGATCTCTTCTAAGGAAACAGATGAGTAAAAGCAGAGAAAGAAGATAAGCTAGTTAATAAATTAAAAAGAGCAACTTACAACTCTGTAATAAAGCGAAGTTATAGTAGTCTTTCTGGTATTTCAGTTTATCACATGCAAACTGCCTATTATATAGTTCCTGCTTTGAAAATGATGCCAAAAATTTCTCAACATTTTTCTAGGGAATGACCCTAAGAAATGACAAAGCATTTTTAACAAGAATGCAGATAATTCATCCCAGAAGGACTCACAGGGCCAAATGTCGTAATTCACTTAGAGGCCTACAGAGATTGAACTCAGTACTAAAAGAGTTCCTCAGTAAAGTATCCTATCTAAAGTTGGACATTTTCTAAATTCAGCAATCATACATTTCTTAATATTTTACTAGAAATGCTCTTAATTATGGCAGCAAAGTCAATTGCTAATCTGCTGTGAAGATCAATTAAATATAATAAAATAATATGTAAAATGCAACTCCAGAAAAAAAAGTATAAAAATGGCTACAGAAGAAAAAAAAGATGAGGCCGCTACTAGAGAGAACAAGCGGGGCCCAACCTTATCCAGAATGGTCAGGAAAGCCTTTTTTGGAAGGTGACCAGATGGAAAAGAAGAGCCAGTTCTCTTCCATAGGGAAAGAGAAAGGGACAGAGATCATTCCCAGCAGAAGGAATATATGGAGGCCTTGCAGGAGCAAAAGAACTTGGTGTGGTGAAGGAACTAGATGGCCAGGGTGGCCAGAACACCAAAAGTTGGGGGGAGAGGAATTGGAATGAAGTTGAAGGTAGGATAGGAAAAGTTACACAGGGCCTTAAAGGCTTTATTCATGAGTGTGGATTTGGTTTTAATCTAGGTACAGTAGGAAGTTCTTGGAGGACTTCACATAGATTTTTTAAAAAGATTATTCTGACAACTGTGTTGAAAATGAATGGGAGGGTGTTAATAGTGGAATAGATATGAAAACTATGTTGTAGTCTAGTTGAACAATGATAGAGTCTAACACCTGCATGCTGGCAGTGGAGATGGAAAGTGGATGAATTTGAGATATATTTTGAAGACAGAATTTACAGGACCTGATAATAGAGTAAGTGTGGGCCTTTGAGGGAGAGAGGAGTCAAGAATGGCTCTGAGATTCTAGCTTAGGAACTAGGTAAATGATGATACCATTTGCTGAGATGGGAAAGACACTCTTCTGGGGAGAAAGTGAACAATTCCATTTTAGATGAGTTAGGGTTAAATGCTGCTATGATATCCAAGTGTTAGTGTCAAGCGGGAACTCATAATTTGAGAGCTCAGAGGAGGAGTGAAGACCAGCGGTATACATTTCACCATCTCTGATGAATAGATGATATTTAAAATTGTGTGAATGAATAAAAAGTATAGTCACGCATCACTTAATGATGGAAATACATTCTAAGAAAAGCATCCTTGGGTGGTTTCATCATTGGGGGGGGCATCATCATAGGGTGTACTTGCACAAACCTAGATGGTACAGCCTACTACACATCTAAGCTATATGGTATGGTATCGCTCCTAGGCTACCAACCTCTACAGCATGTCACTTTACTAAATACTGTAGGCAACTATTACATAACAGTAAGGATTTATGTACCTGAACATATCTGAACATAGAAAAGGTATAGTAAAAATATAGTATAAAGGATAAAAAATGGTACACTTAATATAGGGAAGCTCCATTATAATCTTATGGGTTCACCATGATATATGTGGTTCACTATTGACCTAAATATTGTTATGTAGCACATGACTATATTAAGGGTAGGGAGCAGAAAACAAAAGAGAGCTCATCCCCAAGTACTCAGCGTTCAAACATTTAGAGAAAACCAACAAAGTGTTCCAGAAGCCAAGAGGTGAAGAATGTTTTAGGGAATGAATGGTCAATTATGTTGAATGCTGCTAAGAGGTTCAATGAAATAAGTACTTTTAAATATTCACTCAGATACATGCAAGTCATTAGCAACCTTAGCAAGAGCAATCTCTTTGGATGGCTGAGGGTAAAAGACTCAACTGAACTGAAGAAGGTAAGGAAGTAGAGAAATATGTGGGCACCTCCTCTATCAGGAAGGCTGGCTATGATATTCAGCAGAGATATGGGATAACTCAGGGGAGACGTGGAGTCAAGGGAGGACTTTTTTAAAAGATGGGAAACATCGGGGCAAGTTGACTTGTTGATGAAATTGATACAATAGGTGAGAGACTGGAAATGCAGAAGAGAGAAAAGATAAGCAAACGAGTCATGATCTTCAGAAGTTGAGAAATGATGGAGTTTAGGGTATCTGTGGAAGCAATATATATTTAAGGAGAAGAACAGTTGACATCTTTCCAGAATTTGTAGTAAGAGACACAAAATCTTCAGATTAAAAAAACACTAAATGAGACTCAAACCAGATAAATAAAAATAATCTGTATCTATGCCAATTATACTGAAATTGCGGAACACCAAAAGACAAAGCAAAATCCTAAAAAACAACAACAACAACAAAAACCAAAACAGGTTATCTTTGAAAGGACAGAAATAGGTAAAAATAGACTTTTCTTCAGCAGGAAGAGATGAATAGATTATTGAATAATTTCATCAAAGTGCTCAGACAAAAGTATTGCCAACCTAACTTTTATACCCAGCTAATTATCATCTAAGAGCAAGGGTGAAGTAAAGATATTTTAAGACAAATGTCAAGAGTTTCCAATCACAGATCCTCACTTGAAGAACTACTAAAGGATATACTTCAGTGAGAAGCAAATTGAATCTAGGAGGAAGGATTTCCAGAAGCAGCGGTGAGCAAGAAAACTGGTAAATGTGGGTCAATCTAATCATGCCCTATTTGCATACAATGATAACAAGATGACTAATTTTAGGGGCCTTAAACACAGGGTAAAAAAATGACATGGAAGTTTGAAGGGGATGAAGAAGTCTAAAGTTCTCATAATTTGGGAAATGTAAGAAGAGCTACTAATTAACTGAAGAATATTTTAAGTCAATTATGCGTGTATTAAATTTTTGATAATTTAATAAAGGGTGGGATGAAATCCATTAATCAAAAGTAATATATGGCAGGGTGTGGTAGCTCATACCTGTAATCCCAGTGCTTTGGGAGATCAAGGTAGGAGGATCACTTGAGGCCAGGTAGAGACCAGCCTGGGCAACACAGCGAGACCCCATCTCTAAAGAGTTTGAAATTTAGCTGGGCATAGTAGCACATGCCTGTAGTCCTAGCTACTCAGGAGACTGACATGGGAGGATGGCTTGAGCCCAGGTGTCCAGGGTTAAAATGAGCTATGATGGTGCCACTGTACTCCAACCTGGACAACAGACTGAGATTATCTCTCTCTCACACAGACAAATACATAAAAGAAAAAGAAATATAGGTTTAATTAAACCAGTAAAAAGCAGGGAAGGAGAAAAAAGATGCAATAGAAAAGCACAGTGATTATAAAAAAAATCCTAATACAACTCTAATCAGAATAAGTGGCTCTAATTCATCACAAAAAAAGATTTTTAGATAACATTTTAAAAATCCTTTCAAGAAACACAAACATAACATGAGATAAATGTAAGACAGACAGACATACCCAGCAAACTAGCCAATAGAAACCCAAAGTAGAGCAAATATATATATTTGCATTATTAGTGACAGAGACAATAGAGATTTATTTTTACCAGAAGGATATAATTTTGAGCTTTTGTATGACAATACGGTTTCAAAAATATAAAGCAAAATTGAAAGACTTACAAAGAAAAATTGGCAAATCCACAATCATAATGATTTTGACATCTTTCATAGAAACTAGTAGATCAAATAGCTAAAGTTGCTC